TTGACATCTAAATATAACAATTCTACGAGACTCAAACAAAAATATCATAATAACCTATAACGCACACGTAAACAAAAAAGGAGCGAAACCCCTAGTTGCTTTATTTTCTTTTTGTTTATTTAAGTTAAATGATAAGATTGTCATTTTACATCAATTTAAAAATCTTTTTATGAATATTGTTGGTATGGAATGAGTTTGCTAATTTCTCAAAGATTGACGACAAAAATGGGGCAAAAAAGTTGGGGCATGTCCTTGACGTCACTCATAGTTAAAGACGTATAATGCAGTTTAACCTAATTATTATATTTTTTTGCATGTGGGGTAAGTTATGCGGTAAAGACAGTGTCAATCTGGGGAAGGGGAGAGACAAAGTCAGTAATTCATCACAATAAGCTACCTTAAATAAACATATAAAAAAACTAGAGAAATGATAAATAGCCAGGGTTGGTGACGGGGACAAGTGACAGGTGCTGCGCGTCAGCGACTGTTTGGTTGTTTTTTTTTTTTTTTTTTTTCAATGCTTACCCATGACATGCCTTGAGCATCTCTCAATCTCGTCCCTTCCTCTATAAGTACCTCTTTATACCCTGCACCTACCCCACGCAATCCCCTATCAATTTTGTTGTTTCATCAATGGCGGCTTCTTCTGTGGTCTGTTCATCCAAGCCATTGATATCCGTTACCAGTCTCTCACTCCGCTCCAATAAGTTCCATACTCCATCGTGCTTCAAACCCCCCTCGAGCCTCGTTAAATGACAGAAATTCCCCTACCCTCCGCTCTCTCCGCACGAATTATACTCCCAACCATATTCCTGACCCCAATTATTTGCGCATCTTAGATACCACACTGCGTGATGGCGAACTCCCGGCGCCACCATGTCCGCCAAGGAGAAGCTCGATATCGCCCACATGCTTGCCAAGCTTAGAGTGGATATTATTGAGGCAGGATTTCCGGCCTTCTCCGAGGCTGATTTCGAGGCTGTGAAATTGATTGCCAGTGAGGTCGGAAGTGTTAATTCAGGTGATGGTGATGAGTTACATGTTCCGGTTATATGTGGTTTGGCTAGGTGTAACGAAAGGGATATTGAGAAGGCGTGGGAAGCTGTGATTGCTACCCTCCCACGCCATCTCAATATCCCTCTCGTTACACCTAGCCAAACCACATA